AAATTGTGCTTCAGGCACGAAAACTCCAGGGTGGCTGCCCTGGGAGTGGGTTGGAATTGTCAGGGATGTGTTGGGGTGACAAAGGCAGCCGTGAGGGATTTTAGGGAGCGGGAGACGGGGCAGGTTTGGGAATCCTGGGAATGTCACCACCTCTCCAAAGCCACCAGATTCCAGCTGCTCCCAGATCTGGAGCTGTCCCAGACAGGATTCACTTCCTGCCCTTCCCGCTGCTTTTGGGGCTGGGATTGTCCCTTGCTGTCCCCACCGTGTCCTGGAGTGAAATCCCTGTGGAGCCAGAGCTTCCTCAGGGCCTGGCACAGCCCAGGGCACAATTCCCATCCCGTGGGGACTTTTGGGGACAAGGAGGGCGTTGCCAGCTGGGAGAGCTGGAGAAGAGCGGGATGTGCCAGGCCAGGGCACGGAAAAGGGAATTGGGATCCTGGCATTGGGAGCAGGACGGTTTGGAGGGAGCTGAGGAGCCGGGAAAGGCTCAGCAGCAGAATTGGCCTGGGAGGAATTGCTGGAATGGGCTGAAATATTTGGAAAAACAACTGGGAAAAGGGATTGGCAGCAAAATCAGCTGTGGTGGGAGCGGCATCAACCAGCTGGAAGGGAGATAGGACAAGGACAAAGGGAATTCCAGTGAAGAGCTTTCCTGGGCTTCTGGATTTCCCACTGGATATCTTTGTTCAGGGAAAAGGGATCTTGAGAGTGGCTCCATCAGGAAAATGGGATTTTATCCACACAATCCCATTCTGTCCCTCGTTTCATGGCTGTGAAGGAGAAACTTCCTGCTCTTCGTGTTGTAACATTCCATGGAAACTTCCTGGCTCCAGAGGATTCAGATCCCCCTCTCCCACCCCTGTGCAGACCTGAACTCCAACCCAGGCCTTAATTAACTCAATAATTAATGAGCTGGGGGTAACAATTCTTCTCCTCAATCATTTTCCTGTGGCTGAAGCAGCGTTCCTCCCTGGAATGACCTGGCTGGGGATTCTGGAGCTTGGGATGTGAATCCCAAGGATTTGAGGTGCTGGGGGGATTTGGGGCTCTTGGCTGTTCTTCCTTGGGGTGCAGATCCCTGTGATCCCGGCTCAGCTCCAGAGGAAGTTGGAAAAGGGGTCTGGAAGGCTGGGAATCCCATTCCCAGGATGTTCCCGAGCTTGGGAATGTGGGATCTGCTGGTGGGGACATGGAGCACGGGAGATTTGTGGGACACTTGTCCCAAATTCCTCTGCAGGACCGGGATAACCACAGGAAGTGTCACCCACTCCTTGTCCCCAGGGCTTGGAGTGATGATTCCCAGAATTCTGTGGATAATTATCAGGGAAAAACAATCCAAAAGGATAAATGGAGCATTTCATTTCCCAGCAGAATTTCCCACTTTTTTCCCCTTTTCAATGGAATTAAAACATTGTTTTGTTCCTTTTCCTTTCTTTTTTTTGCCAAACCTGAGCTTGTGCTGGGGTTGAGCAGCTGGGATGTGTTGGGATGAGCACATCCTTGGAAAACAGAGCTGATGGAGGAATTTTAGAGGGGAAAGGGGCAGCTCTGGGATGGGAATCAGATGTTTCTGGGATGATCCCAATTCACAGCCAAGTTTGGGATCAGAGTCAGTTTTTAAGCTGAAATAAACAGCTCCAGGATTTGTTTTTCCAGCTTGGATCCATCCAGAGGGATGAGGGAAACCTTGACATTTCCAGCTGGAACTTCCACATGCTCAGAGCCTCAGGTTCTGAGGGAATTTCTGGCTGCTCCCTGTTAGAAACAGCAAAATATTTATTATTTATTAATTGTTATTTATTATTTATTAATAGTGCTGTGCTGAGGCAAAAATCAGGGGTTTTTTCCATGCTGTCCTTTGGTTCATTAAAACCAGGAGGGTACTAATTAATCCCCCTGATTTTTAATTGCCATCATTAATACAGGCTTGTAAAATCCAGCTTGCTCCGCTTAGCGCTTCCAGCTATCCCACAGGATCCAGAGTGGGAATAAATCCTGATCAAAGCCAATCTTGGCTGATAAAATAATTAATTCCCATTTTCCGATTTGGCGGGAGAAGCTCCCGCTTGTGGTGGAGGTTTGGGAGCTCTGCCCTGGGATGGGTCGAGCTGGTTTCACCAGGAATGGGACTAAACCAGGAGCAGAGATGCAGACAGACCCGGAGAAGTCGGATTTTCGGGATAAAGTTGGGATTTTCCTGCCCTGGTAATCCATTAATCCGTAATTGACTAACCGGGAGCGCACGCGGAGCCCGTGGGAGCGGCGGGATGTGGGCGTGGAGCCAATTCCAAACATTCCATGGATGAATCCCGCGGTTGGGTTTTCCTTCCCTAAGGTGGGAATTTCAGGAAGAGCCCCCCATCCTCACTCCCCTCTTCTTTCCCTTGCTGCAGCTCTGGAAGTTTCCAAAAATTCCCAAAAAAAATCCTCCCACTCACTGAGCCAAGGAAATTTTGGTCTCTCCCCATGGATCACTCCAGGATTTTTTGTGTCCCTATTCTGATCCCATCCCATCCCTTTCCTAATCCCATAACTTCCATCCCTGCTACTGCTGCTTTCCCGCCCATCTCATGCTGTTTTGTCCTCACTGATCCGGATCTAGGTCAATCATTCCACTCCTTAATGGAATTTTTTCCATGAATAATTAATTTTTTCCCCCTGCACAGAAGCCTTCACTGTGTGTGGATCCATAGGGAATTGTCTCGTGTCTTCCCTTTGTGTTTTTTCCCATTAAACTTCCCTGTCCAGCCCTAAATGGGTCATTTTGGTGGCTGAGCTGTCCCTTTCCAAGGGGAACCATCCTTCCAGGCCTCCAGGAAAGCTGGAAAACCTCCTTGGAGCTGCTGGAGCCCTGGGAATGCTCTGCATCCCGGAGAATTCTGTGGAAAAGCAGCTCTGGGTCTGAATAAACCCTTTCCACGCCCATTTTTCCTGCTGTCCTTTGTTATATGTTACATCCATCAATATTCCCCAATTCCATCTGATTCCAGCCCATTTTCCAGAGGCAGGGAAGGGCAGGAAAAGCAGGAACTGATGGAATGGGGACCGTTCCCAGTGCTCAGTCCCCTCTGCTGCTCCTTCTCTCCCCTGCCTGCCAAATTTCCTCTCTCTCCCCTTCTTTTTTTCAATCCCAAATTCATTTGGAGCCCTCCTTCCCTTTCCAGGCACATTCCTGGGTGAGTTCAGAATCCCAGGATGGCCGGGGAGGTGATGCCTTCCATGAATTCCCGGAGACTTTTAAAAGACCTGTGTTCTGTTTTCTTTTTTCTTTTTTTTTTTCCTTTTATGTTTGGTTTTGTTTCGTTTTTCCTTCTCTCCCACTGATTCCAGCCCGAGGGATCTCAGAAACAACTCCCAGCTTCATGTATCCCTACGGAACTTCCAGCAGCCAGATGGTGCTCCGAGGGGTGGATCTCCTGCTGGAATGCATCGCCTCCGGAGTGTATGTACCACGGAGAGGGCGATTCCCAGCAATTCCCAGCGGGATCAGCGCAAGGAATCACCCCTGGATTGGGAAAAAGGGATCATTCCTTCCTTTTAGCTGCTAACAATGCTCCCATAACCTGCTGGATGAGCAAACGGGAATGCTGAGGTTTCCAGATGTCTTCAGATTCTTGTCCAAGGATAACTCCCCACTGGTTTGCCCTAAAATTGGGGAATTTGCTGTGAGTTCCTCACCACACCATGGGGGAGGACGTTTGTGTCCCCCAGAATTGTCCTGGGCTCGTGGTCCAGCCCACACCATCAGACCATGGTCTGGGATGGGCTTGGAGGTTCCTTCCACCCCAAACCATTCCAGAATTCCATGATCTTGCATTCCCAGGATGATGAGGCAAGAACACCATTCCTGACCCACTGGGAATGCTCAGGGCCGTGGTTTAGGGGTGATGGTGGGAAGGAGGGTGATGGAAAAGGTGATGGGAATAAGGGTGGCCCACCACTTAGATCAGACCTTCCCCCTGGCTTTTGGTGGTTCCCAGGGTGGGAATTTCACTGTTATTTAGGAATCACAACTCTTTACTTGGGAGTCATTCCCTGGCCTTCAGAAAAGCTCTGATCTGCCCCCCCTCTCCTCAGACCAGCGCCGGACATCATGTGGTACAAGAAAGGCGGGGAGCTCCCGGTGGGTAAAACCAAGCTGGAGAACTTCAACAAGGCCCTGCGCATCTCCAACGTGTCCGAGGAGGACTCCGGGGAATATTTCTGCCTGGCCTCCAACAAGATGGGCAGCATCCGCCACACCATCTCCGTGAGAGTGAAGGGTACGTCACCTTTACCTTCCCTCTTCGGGTCCCGGCCGCCTGGAGCCAGGAGGGGACGTTCATGGAATGCTGGGAGGGACAGCGAGGCCTTTCCCTGGGAATGGGTCCATGTTCCTCAGGGAATCATGGAATGGGTTGGGTTGGAAGGACGTCAGAGATCGCCCAGTTCCGGGACACGTTCCATGGTCCCATGTTGCTCCAAGCGCCATCCAACCCGGCCTTGGGCACTTCCAGGGATGGAGCAGCCACAGCTTCTCTGGGAATTCCATCCCAGCCCCTCCTCACCCTGATTCCATCCCAATAACCCATCTAAATCTTCCCTTTTTTGAATTAAATCTTGTCCAAATGGCCCCAAAAGCAGGAGGGGATGGGAACCCTCTGATAGAAATCGTGGTGGGTTTGTGTGGCATGGGAGAGGAAAGGGGTCTCTCCTCCTTCACTGAATCCCAGAAACCCACTCGGTTTTTCCATCATCTTCCTCCCCCAGGGAGTGTTGGAGGGGGTTGTTGGGGTGGTGCCACTGTCCCTGTGTCACCGGGGTGGGGCTGTTTTCCAGCTGCTCCCTACTGGCTGGATGAGCCGGAGAACCTGATCCTGGCTCCCGGTGAGGACGGCAGGCTCGTGTGCCGAGCCAATGGCAACCCCAAACCGACCATCCAGTGGCTGGTGAACGGAGAGCCCATCGAATGTGAGTGCAGGAGAGACTGGGCCTCCTTCTCCAAAATCCCTGCCTAAATCCCAGCCCAAAATCCCAGCCAAGGATATCCTGGCTGAGCANCTCCAGGGAAGTGTAAAATACCCAGAGGTAACTTGGAGGAGGAATCACAAATTCCACATCTTTGGCATAAAACTGGGAGTGCTGCCACATTCCCACCAGGTTCAGGGAAATGTAAAATGTCCAGGGATATTTTGGGAAGGTGGAGTTGGCCGTGGCTTGCTCCAGGGGATTGGAGGTGGAAAAACGAGTGTGGAATGTGGCTGTGGATATTCCTGGGCCTCCTTTGCTCCAGGAATTTGGGAGCCTCTGGAATCTGGCGGGAGCCTCTGGAATCTGGTGGGACACTCGGGATGGGCATCCCCAGGTGTGCCCACCGAGCACGGATGAGGGGACACCAGGGGCTTTCTCCAGAGCCTTTCCATTGGTTCCATGCCATTCCAGGGCACATTTTCCTCCAGGAATGAGAATTCCTCAAGGAAAAGGAATTCCTGGTTCACTGGGGTGACTCTGGAGCAGGGAATGGGGGCAGTTTGAGGGACATGAGGACCCTGAGTTGTCACAGGGGCTTGAGGTGACAAAATCCTCCATGAACACCAACCATCAGTGGGCAGGATCTCCCACCCATTCCCAGCATTCCCAGGAAAATCCAGCTGGGAGGTGCTGGCGGGTTTTTGGGAAGCACCAGGCGCTCCTGAGTGCTGGTGGGAGGAATTTAATTTCATTTCCCAGCAGCTTGAATGAGCAGGAATGTGATGAGAGGGACCTGGGAGTGACGAGTTTTCCACCTTGGTGTAGCAGCTCCTCCTTGGTGCAAAGCTGGAGTAGGGAATCAGGGATTTAAATCATTCCAACGGGTTCTTTCCCAGTGCTGGGAATGTGGGCAGCTCATTCTGGATGCAATTTGTAAATTCTGGATATTATTTGTGAGTTGTGAATATTTGTCTGTTTGAAGAGCTGGGCAAAGAAAATCCTGGTGTTTGTTTTTGGGAAAAATCCCAGCAAACAAAGATCTGTGGGGTTTGGAGCCTCCAAGGGCTCCACCCTGGTGATTTATCCAGCTCTGGAAGTGACCTGGATGAAATCCTGGTGGATTTTCATGGATTTGAGCTCCCCTCAGGTGCCCCCACATCCCTTCACTCCCAGACCTTGGAGAATCAAATCCCTTTCTTCCAGTTTTCCTTGGGATAAAACTGTTGTAGGATCAGAGGCAAATTCTACCCCAGGAACCTCCCAGATTCCTTAAAAAATTTGCAACTGAGGCTTTAATTTCCAGTTTAAAAATTCTTTATCCATAAAGTTTTGGAAGGGAATGAGGTCGGATTTGTCCCAAGCTCTTGGATCATCTCAGCCTTAATCCTTGAGTTTGGGTTCTTCAAAGGGATTTTACAGCAGGTTGTGCTCTAAAAAAAATTATTATTATTATTATTATTATTATTATTATTATTATTATTATTATTATTATTATTATTATTATGTTACAGCAGCTTGTGCTTTTAAAACCTAATAATAATAATTAAAATAACTATTTATTATTATTATTATTATTATTATTATTATTATTATTATTATTATTATTATTATTATTATTATTATTATTAGTTCATCTCCTCCTTGCCTTCCTACATCATTGTCCAGCTGTGTCCATCCCATGGGAAAAAACAGCTGGAATACGGAATTTTTGTAGTCAAAAAACAGAGAAAAAAAAACCCATTTCCCCCTCCAAATTGCTCTGATTTTTGGGTTTTCCCAAAGATTCCAAAGAGTAAAACATTCCAAGGAAATATTTGCTCTACAATTCTCACACTTTTAGTTCTTCCCACCCCTTGGAGAGGGAAATCAGCCCCTTTTCCTGCTGCTCCTCCTGTGTTTGTCCTGGAAGGCGCCGCGCTCCGAGTGCTTTTGGATCCCTGCTCCGGCCTCTCCCATGCTTGCTGATTTCTGGGAATTCTGGTGTTCCCTGCCCTGTCCTGTNCCGGTGAAGTCCTCTTATCTTCATAAAGGTGTCGTCTCCCGTGTAGGGTCAAAGTCCTGCCACCAGACACTTCTGGCAACATTCCAGGACTCCCGGGCCCCCCAAGGGTGGTCTCGGGGGCCCGGCATCTCAGGACTCAGATCCTGAGATCCCACAACCCGCCTCTCCCTGCTCCTCCCAGGCTACGTCGTGCAGTTCGAGGAGGATCGCTTCCAGCCCGGAGTGTGGCACGACCACTCCAGGTACCCGGGCAGTGTCAACTCGGCCGTGCTGAGCCTGTCGCCGTACGTGAATTACCAATTCCGGGTGATCGCCGTCAACGACGTGGGCAGCAGCGTGCCCAGCGCGCCCTCCGAGCGCTACCAGACCAACGGGGCACGTGAGTTTTGCCCAGATTTTTTTTTTTTGGTCCTTGGAATCCACCCCTCTCCATGGAGGCTCCTCCCTCCATGCCAGGGATAGGTTGGTAAGGGCGGCGTGGGGAATTTTCCAGCGGAACTCTCGAGCTTGGGGGTGGTGTCCTTCAGGGGCAGCAAAACGCAGAGGTTTATGCAAAAGTCAGTCATTTGTTATAGAAAAACCTGGTTTTAATTCTTTTCCCCAAAGGGAAGAATCCTAAAGGAATCTTTCCAGTCCTTTCACACTACAGGAAGCTCAGAAATATGTAGGAAAATCAGACTTGCATGCAAATATTGTTAATTATTGTCTGCTGTTAAAGCTGGTTGATGGTGTGGGGGTGGCGAGGCCCTGGCACAGATTATCCAGAAAAAACTTGGCTGCCCCTGGATCCCTGGAAGCATCCAAGGCCAGGTTTGATGGGGCTTGGAGCAGCCTGGGCTAGGAAAAGGTGGAATTGGGTGATTTTAAGATCCCTTCCCACCCAAATTCCGTGACAAAAGAACAAAACAATCTCCAAATCCACAACCAAGATTTGAGTTTGTCTGTCAAGTTCTTTGTCAGAGAATATTTGGGAAAATTCCACAGAAGGAATTCACAGGAATCTCAGCATTTCTGCTGCATTTCTCCCTTTACCCATTCCAGGGCGGTTTTTGGAGGATCTGCTGGCATCTAGTGTTGGCTCCTGACACTGCCCGCCGTGATTCAGGCTCAGAGTGACAAACTCTGCTCCCTCCACAATGGTTCCTTTTCAAAGATTTAGGACATTTAGGGGACAAAAAAGAGGCTCCTAAATAAATGGCCTGGTTTTTCCAGAGGACTGAGAGTCTCGTGTCCCATTAACCTGAATGGGAACTTCTGGAAAAATCAGGCCATTAACTTCTGCCTTGGAAGGACTTTCGGCTTGCAGGGTTTTAACCCCTCAGTGGTTGCTTTTTTGACATTGAAAAATTCATTGTTTTTGGTTTTCAATGTGAATTTCAGGTCCTGAAATCAATCCAACAGGAGTTCAAGGGGCAGGGACCCAAAAGAACAACATGGAGATAACGTGGACAGTGAGTTCTTCTTGGATGCCTTTTGGGATGGAGCTGTGGGATGAGGGGGAATGGGCTCAGAGTGCCAGAGGGCAGGGATAGGTGGGATATTGGGAATAAATCCTTCACTGGGAGGGTGGGGAGGGGTTGGGATGGAATTCCCAGAAAATCCGTGGTTGTCCCAATCCTGGAAGTGTCCCAGGCCAGGTTGGAGCAACCTGAGATCATGGAAAGTGTCCCTGCTTATGGAGGTGGAATGCAAAGGGATTTCAGGTCCCTCCCAACCCAAACCACTCCAGGATTCCATGAAATGAAACACAAGACGTACAAGAAAAGCCATTTTTAGTGCTGTGATAAAAAGAATAATTCAAAAAATTGAAAATAAAATAATTCAAAGACATGGCCTCCAAAGATGCCGGATTCCAGACTTGGCTTCCCAAGGATGAAGTCGAGTCCTTGAGCAGCTCAGAGGATTTATGGGGCCGCTCCTGCTTTGCTCCCTGCACCAGCAGGTGTCAGCCACAAATCAGGGATGAGCCGTGGGGAGAGCTGGAATGGCAGCGGGAACAGAGGCTGGAATATGGGGATAGTAAATATGGAATATATA